CCTAACAAAACCGCCGATTTACCATGTTTTTGCTTCATGACTGTTAATTACAAATTTAGATGCTTCTCTGTGTGTAGATGGAACATATGATTCTAAGCAGCCAGCCGTTTACCAACTTCTCAGATTAATGTCTGTGATTTTCGGAATGGCGTTTAAAGGGGTATTCCCTGAAACATGTACGTTATCATTGTTCAAATGCTATATATAGATCAATGACGCTGGATTTGAACAGACAATACGAAAACACATGTGTTATGACGAAGCACTTTCTGTGTCGGCACTTATTCATCGGTTTTATAGAGATATCACATAACATCAGACATTACACATTTTGAGATTTCCCACTCGTATGTCATGTAAACAGAAATTGAAATATAGTCATAAATGTAGATTGAAGGATGGTTAATTTATTTATAATACCCTTATATACAGTGATAAAAAAAGTTATATAAGGCTTCATGTCTGAATGGTAGCGAATGTAACTTTGAGTACACTATACAGACCGTTGGCTAGCTGGATCAGAGTCAATTTTTGTTGTTCCTCTGAAATTAAGAGTCTCCGTACTGTCTTCGAATAAGTTTACTGCTATTTAATAGACATTTCCGTCGCTCATTGAAATTATTTCTTTGTTCTTTGTTTCTTAGCTGACTCAGATTTTTGCTATATAGTTAAATATATTTGTATGGATAAACTCTTTCAACGAATTAATTGATTGCCACCGACAGTCATTTTTTTTGTGTTCTACAAACTTCCCTGCGCATGCTCGTATTTAAACTCGCTTATGAGATTTACCTTCCTACTTATGGTTACGTCAGATTTCCACCTACGTTACTTTTCAATATTTAAATCAGTGAAATAGTCAACAATATTAATTGTAACCAGAAACTCAAAAGGCTGTAGTGTTACATTTCAATATGTCGTGCGTGCATGCTTATTTAAGATTTTTTTTATAGATGACTTAATAAATCCCAGATAGATCCATACCACGTCCCAAAGATACTGGTGTCATATTTTTGAGGTGTGCTGCCTGTCTTTATCACGCTTGTTGTGAGGGCAAGAACCTGTCGTATCAATATCAGAAATCTGTCTTTGTAGAGACATTGTCACAGCTGCTAAGGCTTAACAAGTAATGCTTATCTTACGTTACCACGTAAACACAAGCGTAGATCATCACGTGATGGTGAAATAAAACAAGCACGTGTTAGCAGTGATACTTATCCACGTGACGACTACTCAGTCCCGAGTGAAATTGGCTGATTTCAATAACGTTGGTTCAAATAAGTTAGTGTATTATGAATGAACTTGTAGGACAATTACGCTAACAGCAGATAGAAAGAAATAGATGAAATGATTTTTTTTCTAATGAGGGAAAATCAAATGTTCACATTCAATATGCAAGCCCATAGCAATAAACAATAAGAAAATACCAATATCCAAACACAAACTGTGCCTCTCTGTTGACCTACTTGTTTTTGTTTTCAGACCAGGTTGATTTATCTAAGAGCTTATCAAAACAGGTCATAAAGACCTTGCAAAGAAGTTTAATTTCAATCTCAGCTATATTGATGACGTCTTGTCTTTAAATAACCAGAAATTTATTGACTTCGCCAACCGTATATACCCACTAGAATTGGAAATCAAGGACACAAAACGGTTACATTTCCACTAAGCTGTATTATCAGCGTTGTGATTTCAATTTTCCCTATTGTGAATTTTGCCAGTTGGCTCCATTGTTGTATACCTTGATATCATTTTAGAATGTGAAATTGCTTACTCGGATTGATCAATATACACATGGCGGGTGTCGTCGATGAAGAACACCTGGTCTTATTTCATTGTATTATTGCCTGGGGAAATCATTCTTTGTGTAAATAATTCTTTGTGTAAATCATTCTTTGTTCTTATTTTGCCCTATTTTCAACCCTGTTTTTTGTCATGTTTTGACAAGCTCTTAGACAAATTCAGCCTCGTACAAAAACAAAAGAAGAAGTCAGCCAGCAGAGAGGTACACTTAATTTCCATGTGTATGCAAATTGTCCGATTGATTATCTTAGCAACAAACTCAACGAAGATGTTGGCAACCAGAAACTCGATGGTTTTAAATGAGCCAGCAATAAAACGCTGTTTTCATGGATTCTTGTGAAGTTTATGAAGCAAATGGATACCTACGAGAAGTGCTTTCACGCCATGAGATATCCTTGCCTTTACCATGACAGGACCTTCCCCGAATCACGCGCTTTCTGTTACGCAAGCGTCAGAATATCGCTGATTACGACGTCGATAGACACGTTGTCGTCCATCTGACGTGAAAAGCGCGCAGCGAGACTCGTCAGTGAACAACATGCGTCTCCATGTGCATGTGCAAGCAGCAATTGCATTCGGCGTTGGCGTCGTCTATGCGTAAGTGGCGGACCAACATAGGGACGTTGTGGCCTTAAATGAAACTCCAGCGACCGGTTCCTAGCCATTCTTGAACACACTGGTCGACTTTGAGTACCGACAATTTGGCGTGCCGTCTCTGTCGCCGTCTGAAATCGGTTACGAAAGTGCGAGAAACGTATATCTATCTTGACGTTGCCATATTACGTGCGGGCGTCCGCTCCTAGGACGGTCACCCGATCTCTCTGAGACGCCCAATTTACATAGGAACATTTAGGATACAAAATCTTACAGAGAGGCTAATACATCTAGGACACAAAATCTTACAGAGAAGCTTATACATCTATGATACAAACTCTTACAGAGAAGCTTATACATCTAGGATACAAAATCTTACATAGAGGTTAATACATCTAGGATAAAAAACATACAGAGAAGCTAATACATCTAGGATACAAAAACATACAGAGAAGCTTATACATTTAGGATACGAAATCTCACAGAGAAGCTTATACATTTAGGATACGAAATCTCACAGAGAAGCTTATAAAGCTAGGATACAAAATCTTACATAGAAGTTAATACATCTAGGATAAAAACATACAGAGAAGCTAATACATCTAGGATTCAAAAACGTACAGAGAAGCTAATACATCTAGGATACAAAACTTACAGAGAAGCTTATACATCTAGGAAACAAAATCTTACATAGAAGCTTATACATCTAGGATACAAAACTTACATAGAAGCTTATACATCTAGGATAAAAAAAAACATACAGAGAAACTACTACATCTAGGATACAAAAACTTACAGAAACTTACAGAAAAGCTAAGAAGAATAAAGGTTATATATCTTCCGTAGGAAAAAATCGGTAACTTTCCACAAACTTTCTAGATACTTAAAGTTTTAGATTATGTTTTATCTCCTACTTTTTACTCCCTTAATCATCTCGACATAGATGATTCAACATGTAAAGTATCCATTGTAAACGTTGGGTAAAATGACCAGTAACATCACGTTAGGAACTTGTTCCAACAAGGTTATTTCCACTTACTATTGATTGCGTTTGATAGTACAGGAATAAGTCGATAGATGGCAACAGATATACGTTACGTTTCCCATTGATATAAATATTCTAAATCAATATATATGGCGTGTGTGATATGAATGTTTAATATCCTCCTGTAACAGCTATTACAGCTGGTGATGATTAATACAGTCAGGATTCAGACACAGTTAATGGCCTCTCTTTCTGTTTATGATGATAGCAGTAACACACTCCGACAAATATCTGACAAAGCTTGTTAATGAATAATGTTATTGTGACAATAAAACATTGTTAATATACAGTTAAACCTCGGTATACATAATGCTCCTAGTTTCCATACTCTATAATATACGGGAACATTTCGATATCATGACCCTCCTTTCTTTACTTCAAAACTTGACGTAGTGTCCTTTAATATAGTTACCTCTTTTCATTTTTAATATCTCGTCAACCACCAACATGTTCTATTTTTTTTGTAAGTGTGAAAATATAAGGAATGTTACCAATATTCTTCTGATTCATGTCTGAAAATTCTCGCTAACCACTTTTAAATTTTAACCAATGTTTAACTTTAACAACTCATTAATTTTAACCACCGTTCAACTTAAACAACTCTTTGACTTTAAACAATGTTTAACTTTAACAACTCTTTAATTTCAACCACTGTTTTTATTTAGCTACTGTTTGCAGCTCATGCGGAGACAGTTTAATGAAGATGTTAAGTTGTGTACGCGACAGCAGTCCAATCAAATAGAATCATGACAGAAATGTTCTTTTCTGAATATCTGTGTAAATTTTAAATCGTATGTGTATGACAAACAAACATCAATGAAATACCAACATGTCAACATAATCATAATCCAAACTAAAATCCCACAAAACTAGACCAAAATATGAACAAACGAAAGGTTTACACGGAGACTTATGAAACGTTCCAAAAGAGTAAGCGTCTGCTACTTCGACGACACCGCCATGTAAACCTTAGTCAATTTAAGTAAGTAATTTCACGTTATCAAATGAGAAGAAGGTCTAAAACAACGGAACCAACAGGCAAATTAACGAGCATCAAACACGTCCAGCTTCATATCACACAAAACAATAAAATATCTCTCCATGATGTCACTATGGCGACCATAAAACTTTCCCATGTAGTGTATATGGAACCACCTTACTAGGATGTCATGAAAAACCTTCACGAAGTAATATAATTGGACCGGAACACAACAGTGAAATCATCAACAGAAGTACCTTGTTAATACAAACGTCTACTGCAGCCAAAGTAAGTCAATAAACAACCTTTGAATTGAAACCTTCTCTCATAATATTGATCATTAAAAAAGAACAAAATCTACAAATAATATACACGTGAATTGAATAAGTATGTTTTGAGTAGATATTGTCAACCCATGATTTACACTTAAAATTTATATATGCCAGCTGCCTCTCTGTGTATGGTTGAATCATTCATACGGGAAGAGAGACGACACACACCGCAAGTCTATCGATTTGGTTGTTTGTGTGGAGCTCTGTCCTTCTGTGCACTACTCGGTGATCCAGCGCCGGGAAGGCCCCCGTAGCATCATCATCTAGGACCACAGCTTCACCAATCTGGAAGTTCTAGGATATGCCTGCTGTGGAATCAAGATGGAGAGATTGAAGTAAACGGATTTATTCGTTCTCGTTGACGAACTGTAGAACAGGAGAGAGCGTCACATAAGAGAACCAAAATGGAGTCGTGTGCGGAAAGTCTAGTTCAGGAGTTCAGACCTGAGAGTCTCGGCCTGAATCATGACAACCCCTCGGACTTCGTTAAACCCCAGGTAAGTTCCATCATGTACATTTGATATTCTCCCCACCATCGCTTCTTCCGTTGTTGTCTTTTTCCCAATCCAGAGCAGTCATCCTGAATGAGTGTTTTAGTTTTGGTGACAATATCGACATATAGCGCTAGTCACAATTATTTACATAGAAATGTCAAAAACGTGGTTATGTGTCAAACGAACAACGCGTGTCATTATCCTGCTATTTTATAACAAATAACGTTTAGGCAGAGAAAGAGCATGGCCGTTCAACAAATTGCACCAGCAATCTGAAAGTCTATAACGAGGGCGTAAAGTAATGTGTATATGGCGGAGTACAGCTGTTTATAGTACGCGTTTTGTACAGGATGCTGTGTATGAATGCTGCAGAATGCTGCAAATATTCTAATATTTCTATACATGATATAGTGTATACTTTTGGATTTTGATATTGATTGACACTTTTCAGAATTTTAATTTCATCGGATATTTTGGTCCTTTGGTTCCTACAAAATGTCTCCATACACCACAACGTTCTTTAAACACAGTCTTGAGTATTTTGTATAATTGATCCTAATTGTCGATGCCAGTCTAATGGAGTGTTAGTTATAAAGGCGTGTGATGTTCTTTATAGTGCTGGAATCCTTTATTAGCAGTGGCAGTTTATTGTATTTGAAGACAGGTTGTGTGAGATACTGTAATTGAAATCCTAAGTTGATGGCATAGTTTGTGATGTTTGAGTGATTTTGTAGAAGATGAACGTAATCGTATTGTTAGGATTGGGAAACAGTAAATTGATGTCGTTCGATCTTGTAGCTTATTTGAGCTAAGCATATTATGCAGTTTATGGTAAGTAGGTAGCGTTGAACAGCGCTTGTTTACAGCATAGGAATTTCATACCAGTTACGCATTTCAATGCATTAAAGCTGTTTAGTTCAGTACTGAAATCTTATATGTCTGTTGATGACATGCCATTTAGTAACAAGGATGGAGCCCTAGAGGCCAGGTCGATGTGGTAGACAGGTTGTCGTGTAATCAATATATACACACTGTGTTCTGAATTCTCTCCAGCTGTGTTAAACCTGTACATAATGGATTTTTTCAATCACGTGTGTATTGTGTATATATATGTAATCAGTAGTTTCTGCACTGACTGAGTGAAATAAGTTGTATCATAGTATACTGTAGGTTACACTACAAACATAGAACATTAAGTTTTATAGGATGTATATAATCTATTATATCATGTTTTCCCTGTGTCTTCATTCTTTCCTACTGGCATCATTATGATATCATGGGATGAGCTGAATTATATCTATTTTTAAATCAGTATGAGATATAATTCATTTGCTTTGAACAATTGACTGTCTTCATCTGTTCTAATAATAACAACATAGATGAACACAGCGTGTACTGATGTATGAACTATGCTGTTTATTACACACTCAAAGCCTAAAACGTGGGCCTGTTACATACCAAACAAATGCCTTTTTATTTCTTAATTCATAAACTATTGTGTTTATAAGCCATCTTGTCTTGTCTATCAATATGTGTTATCACTGGAACCTGATTTCTCTTGTTCATCCTTTTCACAATTTTCTAATCCTGTTTATAAACTGCCTCATCTGTATTCCTTCCGTGTCTTGTTTACCTTATATATACACCTACTATCTCTTTCTATCAAATCTTCTCTTTTATGTGGCCATTAATTTTCACTATTAACACATATATATCTTGTTTTTCGGGTTAGGTTAAAAACCTTCCTCGTTCATGTTTATATTGCTTCATCCTTTTGCGTACAGTGAAGGACATATTTTAATAAGGAATTGTTTTATCATAGAAATCAATTGTTATACAATATATAGAATTTCTCCCACGATGTAATAAATTATTCATATGTAAGTTTTTTTTAATAGTGAAAAAATTGAATGCGGGCGAGAAAGCAAAGCAGCGCGGTACATTATGATAAACAGCATGTATATGGGGAATTGCTGGCAGGTTGATATATAATATGACAGCTGGTACAATGCGCAACAGATACAAACATATACAGAAGATTCATTTTTAATCAAATCTTATGAGCTGTTGTGGTTAAAGACAATGGAATTCGTTATCATTAAATTACAGTTTGTTTTTTCTATGTTTTTCAAAGCTAAATATTTCGAGAGAAAGAAATACCATACACAATAACATTTCAGTTTATACTGACGTGAGACAGGACGCGGGCGTGAATTTGGAGTCTGGTATTTCAAAATTTTATCGACATTCTTTGAATAGGAAAGACAAAAAGTCACAAAAAAGCATCACTAAATGCTCTAAGATTCCAAAGTTAATTGATTGACGTGCCTTCACCATTTGATGTCGGTTACAGATCAATATCATTTACCTTAGTAAAGGACACTAGTGGATAAATAGAACAAGTCTAGACCAGACGCCGCTAACGACAACACGGATTACACTCGATTTCTCTTAATACGAGGAAGGAAGAATTGTGTAATGTAATATAACTGATCACGTGACTAAACCAGGTCCTGTTAATTCCTTATATTTTCTGTTTTGTTTTCTTATCATTTGTCATTATTTTTTGTCGCCTTAATGGATACAATAAGAATCTTCTTGAAACAATAACAAGAAGATGTAACATTCCTTTTTTGTAATTGAATAATTTGTAATGTGACCGTCAAGTCGAGTAAACTCTGGAATATTTAACTGCAGCGAGTATTTGACACGATTTCACGATACCTCAAACCTCAAAGCCTTGTTGTTGAGATCGATAAACTGCCGTGTTGGAATTCGATATCTGGTTGTGTCTTCTACCACATGGCTGATTGCAGATAAATTGGGTCCTGTGTTATTCCAAAAAGATAATAGAAAAAATGTAAAAGGTTGATATCAATCTTACCGAACAAATCGGAAATGACATCACGTAACAGTAATGAAAGGGATGTTTTCATCAAAGGAAAAGAAGCACTTTTTGGAAGTAATTTCCCGATTTTCACTACATTACATGACAATAACTAATGGTTAAATTTTAAATATAGATGCCGGTGTTAATGTTACGTGTATATAATTTATGGAAAATTACGCTTCTCTGAAGGTGTTTGTAAAAAGTCATTATCTAATTGTTAGATATTCTGCTCATTCCATAGAACTATTATTCAAAGAAATCATATCAATTTATCTGCACATAAATATGGATGCTTAAAATAACATCATCCCTGCAAGTGTGGGTTCAATCACACAGTGTGACTGCCCGGGAGCATATAACGCGCAGTTATGTTATCTAGTTAGCGTGTCACTAAGGGTTTTCCATCATCAAATGTGCTTAAGCCATTTAACCCTACTAAGAAAGCGATAAAATTCGATTATAGAAATACCGTAAATCACTTAGACATAATTGAAGTTATTTAAAGTCGGTTTAGGTGCAATATATAGAAAATTATATTAAGCATTTTCTGGAAGCTTCGCTCCTTCTTGGTTCTTATAGGTACAGATTATGGGAGGTAAGCGTAACTGCCATTGTATATTATTTTCATAATCTCATACCTACTGCTGAAGTTTTTGATGAAGTTGAAGACGCTTCCTCTTCTGGAACACCTGGTCCTATTCTTGTACATTTTCCATGAATATCCATGTAAAGTTTTCTTTTGTTCATATTTTGCTATAATAGTTGTTAGGATTACGATTCTTTTCATATGTTGATATTTTTTGTTGTTTTATATAAATGGAAACTCATGGTTGATCGCCCATTTCTGTATGAACTAGACAAACAAAAATGACAATGAAGGTACAATCAATATCATCTGTAATTGGTTCATCTTTATAACGTCATCATCTTTGTCCATTTTGTTTCCTTTTCAGTCACAGTCACTTGTAATATCATAACTCCTCGTCATCAAAACTTTCGCCCTGATGGGTTTTTGTTCAGTGATGAAAGTATGAATGAATCATGTTAATAGTTTTTTTGTTCATATTGGTTAACCGCTTGTATCAGAAACAATATAATTCTTTTACTACTTCGACATTTTCTTCAATAATTCAAAGTCAAACATTTGCGTAATGGAAAACAAGAACAACATCAAGAATACTTTAAAATAATTTTTATAAAGAGAAATTTCTTCAAAATACTGTTCAATAGTTATGACAGAATTTACTTTTATTCATAAAGAGGAAGATTTTTTTATGACATGAAAAGCTGGGTTTACGTTCATCTGGTAAATCAAACGTATCCCCTGACGCGTCTGGAGTCTCTGTAATTCGCCCTTACTGCCTACTACAAACGAAATGCCTGGAAAGATGTCGGTATTTCAAGCTGATGTTTTGTGTGGAAAGTCCCATAGGAATCATATCAGAGACGTTTTCTCTACATAAAATTCACTTGAAGGCAGATTTAGCACTTACCATTCCTGATACAGCGCAGGTCTTACATAGCAGGCTGTAGGTGCTATCTATCAAGGAGGAGGAAGTTATGTTCCCTGTATAATTCTTATATCACAAAACCGTGATCTGTTGTTATTATGTAGTGAAACTTCTTAAGCACCAGTATAAGAATGCTTTATCATTCTGTCAATAAAACGTCTTGACATCTTTCTTTATTGTTAGAAATATATTTGGAGTTCAGCATTTATACACGTTCATAATGAATCGTCTCTGTATTTAATGTCACAATGAATCGTATCTATATATACCGTCATAAGTGAATTATCTCTATATATACTGTCATACGCGAATCGTCTCTATATATACTGTCATCAGTGAATCGTCTCTGTATATACGTCACAATGAATCGTCTCTGTGTAAACTGTCATACGCGAATCGTCTCTGTGTATACTGTCATAAGAGAATCGTCTCTGTGAATACTGTCACAATGAAACGTCTCTGTATAAATTGTCACACTGAAACGTTACTGTAAATACTGTAGAAATGAGTCGTCTCTGTATATACGTCTCAATGAATCGCCTCTGTATACATTGTCACAATGAGTCGTCTCCGTATATAAGGTTACAATGAATCGTCTCTGT